TGATATTAAAAAGATAACTTTTTACACGAACATAGGCGATGTCCCTGGTAAGCTTCCACAGTAACAATGAAGAGAATGTTCATTCGGTGTATCGTGAGGCTTCTCTGTGGCTCGCAGAAACGTATTATGGACTGGCACTCTGTGCGAAAATGGAAAAGGCCAATTCCATCCATTCTTCGAGCTCGGCCTCGTGCGAACGACGAGAAATATGGGGCTCACGATGCACCGAAGCGTAAAACCGGTGACATGGACCAAGTAGGTTTTCGTGCAGCAGATTTCTCACAAAAGACCGCAAAAAGGACGTGCGCATCGCATTTTGGAAGGCAGCTAAAGGCCGATAGAAGAAGGGTGCGATAAAACGGCTCTTATAATCCACGGATATGTTGATTCGGAATCGGTCGTCGAAAATATCCGTCATTACATGTATACGTCGAAGAGAACGTAGAAATAAAGATAATGAAAAACGTGTAATGTGTAATTTTTGTTTCAAATGTGACATATAAAAATAAGCATTGTCATGCTCCATTTAAAATAATTCCATTCTTAGACATTGATTATGTTTTCTGCTATTTCTGTCGTTTATAATAGCAACATTTACAATAACTGTAGAACAAGAAAGTAATTTCTATTAATTTGAGTAATAATTTTTTTTAATAATAATTTCTGTTAATTATTGTACATATATATATATAATATAAGATAATGTTTCCAGATCTAATTGTATAACAATCGGATTCGTAGAAAAATTCTTTATAGAACACTTTTTACATACGACATTTTATATCGTGGAAACATCGGCCTGACTTTCGTCACGTCACGTATCAGCGTTTATCTCATAGCATATGCACGAGAGCAGCATTGGCATCGAGATCTCACGAGGCCCATTTGGGAGATGGTGATGAAAAGAGCGAGAGGTACCTAGTAGATTAGCGGGGGTTCACCCTCTGCCCACCCCACCGATCCGTATAAGGGGGTTCCAGCATTAGCGATTATACGCATCGCGGCATCCATACATCGGGTGTCTCCGTGTGGAACTAAACAGACAAAATGGCCACGCTCTGGATTCACCCTAGATGGATTCCGTTTTCCTTTTGCGAGAAGCATCTCTCTCTCTCTCTCTCTCTCTCTCTCTCTCCTTTTTTTCTCCCTACCTCATTCTCTCGCTTTCATTCGTGCCAACGAGAACGATTACTCTCTTCATCTAGGAGATACCTTCGTGGCGGACAAGAGTCACGAGATTTTCGAAAGTGTTCCTCGCTTCTTACCGGAGAGATATGCCTCCGTGCATCGGTGAAAAGCGTAGTAGCTCTTGCGCACCGCTGTTGTCCAACATCCTCAGTCACGCACCCGTAACGCGAAAACAATAATTTGTGCTAGAATTTTAGCAGAATAACATAGAAACCACGGAGATAAATGACAAGATTTAAAATTTTTGAAAATATTCTAAATATATAACAGAGTTACGATTTCTATTATTAGCACCGATTATAAACATTTTCTAGTATTAATTATAACAATTTATAATTAATCCATGATTTTTTATTATAAACAAGTAATTTTTAGCAATTTTATATGTTTAATTTTCTGGATGATCCTTCACATCTCGATTAGGACAGCTGTTGACCCAGTTTCCGGACCCACTTCATTTCATTGTCAAGGACATTGTGAGGATGCTGCGACATCACGCCCCTTGCACTCCATGTCGCTTATACCACCCTTTCCCCGCGGGAGACCGATGGAACACATTCTCTTTCATATGTAACGGATATACGCGCGGTTAATCCTCTTTCTATCGAGATCGGTAAACACATCGGCGCTATTCGAATCCCTGGAAAATCCCAGACTATGTTTAACGCGATCATTTCAAAATCGGATTTGGCGGCATTGTCCCCATGAAAGAGATGACACCGACCTAATGCTCGGCGCATTTTGAAGCTACTCTCGTCCACTGATGCATACCACAACATGGTGTGACAGTCCTTTAGGAAGCTAGCCGATCGACATGGACGAAGGAGCGTTGCAAACTACCGACAATAGAAAACAGAAATGCTTTCTTCTTCAGTAATAAAAAAAGGGAATTCTAATTTCCTTCAAGAAATTCATGCGTATAAATACAGCTTCGAATATTGTTAGAATACTTAACTACGTTCTGTATAATGTATTCATATCATTTCTACAATGATCAAAAGTTGATTAGCAGATTGATATTGACATTTGCTTTGCATAAAAAACCAAATGGATCGCGGAAAAATCCGTTGCCATGATTTCATCGCTTGCGCAAGAGCCGTTTTTCTCTCCTATAAACTAATGCATGTTTCGCGTTCGTGAGCTAATGCAATTACGAGCTACTTTATAAGAGATCGGCGTATAGCGTTTGTCAAAGGACGCGGCAACCGACGGAGATCAATTATAATATAGTATTTAATAAAGTAGTTACGGAGTTTTTTTTTATGCTTATCTCTGTTTATTGATCACCGATCGATAACGGTAATAATATCTCATTACCCGCGCGTTTCGATAAACTTTTTTCATACTTGTCTTTTATTACTCCGCGTCGTTGCATTTTACTTTTCCGCGACGCGCGTGGTACTAAATTTAAATATAAATTGAGAGAAGCAGCTGATTGCGCGAGATTATACTTATATGTATATAATCTCGCGATCAGCTGCTTCTTTCAATTACATTCTTCTTAGATATAATGATGAGAAAAATCAGCGTAGCTAGCTAGTTTTTTCCTCGTTCGTTTATTTATAGTTTAGGAATTTTTATATGTCGTTTATTTCTGATCAGATCACGTTTAATGAAAGAAAAATTCCATATGAGACGTTATTACGTGATCACCCTGTATTATATCGTATGGTGTGACCGTCAATTGCGTAGGCTCGCGTCTTTACAGACTGCTTCCGACCTTCGAAACAATTACTCACAATTAAAGCCGACGTGGCCGAAGATACGTTGCCTTAATTTTTATACTTTAACTTAATTAACTTTTTCGACACTAAATATATTTTAGAAACGAATTTTTTTATACAAATTCCAAAAAGATCCAAAATCCTTTTTAATTTGTTCGTTCT